TACCTTATCTCATCCCCTGGCCTACCTTATCCTGACCCCCAAGCCTACCTTATCCTGTCCCCCGGCCTACCTTACCCCGTCTCCTAGCCTACCTTATCTTGTCCTCCGCCTAACTTATCCTGACCCCAGCCTACTATCCTGAGCCCAGGCCTACCTTACCCCGACCCGGCCTACCTTACCCCGCACCCCGCCTACCTTATCCCGTCCCCCCCTACCTTACCCCGACCCCCGGCCTACCTTATCCTGACCCCCCAGCCTACCTTACCCCGCCCCCCGCCTACCTTATCCCGTCCCCCGCCTACCTTGCCCCGCCCCCCGCCTACCTTGTAGACGATGAGGTCGTGCTCGCCATCCCTCAGCGTCGTCCCGTCATATCTCATTAGCTTCACAAACGCCAGTGCAAATATTTTCTCGGATTATCCTTGGCTGCAAAGAAATCGATAACCATCTCCCGTGGCTGCCGTGGCCACGTGACGTCAGAAACGTCAGACGCCACCAGGGCTACCTTGACGGACAACCTGACAGAACTGCCCTGAAAGAAGCATAAGTGGAGAGAGACCAGGTCGCCAGTAGGAGGCGCTTCTCCTGCAGGGATGGGCGGTGCCCGAGTCAACCTGTAACTTCCGAGCGAGCGAGCGATCCCCGTCAGAATCTCGGGGAAGTGCCAGCTGGGGGAACGAGGAGCTGACTCGAGAGGGAAGCGCCCAGGGCACCGGGAGGATGTGGAGGAAGAGCCTGCGAGACCGGAAACCAGGAGTGACGCTGGGAAAGTGATACTAAGGAGACCGCGTGCCCGTAACGCACGGACACACACGGTGGGAACGGGCAGGGTCTGCAGACACAAGGCCATCGTCAACGGCAGCCAGAGGGCAGCCCGTTCACGGCGAACACTGGCTCTCGATGGGAAAGACGAGATTGTCGATTCCTACTGGGCCCCGCGCACTGACATTAACCGCAGGCAGACTGAGGGGGAGCTCTTCTCCTGGGCAGGGACGTGCTTCCGCCAGGCACCGCACGCAAGACGTGTCCCTCCCCGCCAGCGAGTGTCTGCTGGTCCCGTGTGCGAGGCAGTGACAAGCCGCTGAAACAGGGAGCAAGTAGCCTGGTCACACGCTCCCCCCGCCGGCCTTGTTGTTCTTCATAGTTTATGGACTGAATGTGTCCCCCAAGTTGGTAAGTTGGGGCCCTAACCCAGAGGTGACTGTAGGGGACAAGCCGGTGAGAAGGTGTGAAGGTTCAATGAGGCCCTAAGGCTGCAGCTCCGACCCTGATAGGGACAGCAGGGCTCCCCGCTCCACATGCGTTCACCGCAAGAAGCCGCCTTCTGCCACCCGGAGGGGCCTCCCCCAGCCGGGCTGTGCTGACACCCGGGTCGCAGATGTCCAGCCTCCAGAACCGTGAGAGAATGAATGTCTGTTCGCTATGCCCCAGAACATGCATTTGGTTCTGGCTGCCAGAGCTGAGTCAAATAACAGTGCTTGTCACCACAAGACCAGGCGCACATGTGTGTGCATGCATGTGTGTGTGCATGCGTGTGTGTGCATGCATGTGCATGTGTGTGTGCATGCATGTGCATGTGTGTGTTGTGGTTGCTGATGGTGAGTTTCGCCCGCTGGACGGTGAGTGGCAGGGACAGTGTGTGTTTTCTCTCTGCCGCTTCCCCAGGACAGGAGACGGTGCTCGCCGGGTATAACATGCACAAGAGAGGCCTGTTCTACTCGGGGAGACGCCGACAGACAAGTTCTTTCAGATACAAAGGAAGTAAAACGCGGTGCTCTGTTAGGGGTGGCGGTGGGGGCAGGGACGACCCCTGCACGGCTGGAGAAGGCCTCCCAGTGAGGACGAAGGGCCTATGGGCCAAGGTGTGAATCCTGCAGGAAGCCGATGGCCAGTGCAGGGTCCTCAAGGGGACTGGGTCTGGCTGGTCGGGGGACAGACAGCCAGGGTGGCTGGTGAGGAGTGGACAGGGAGGCCCCACGACAGGCAGGGGCCAGGTCAGCTGGGGACGCATAAGAAGTCTGGACGAAGAACGGGATTCACGTGGATTCCTCAGGATGCGAACTGAGCGCAACATGGAAACACGGAGGCTCAGAGCTAGAAAACATCTTGAAAGGGACGTATCCCAGACTCTCTTTTCAGAGATGAAAGGCCAGAGGTCAAAGGGGAGAGGAGCAGACTCCAGCCACCCGAGTCAGGAGCTGAGATAACAAGTCTCATTAGCCTTGGCATTCTGGTGCCCATCTGTATCTGGCACATAGTAGGTGCTCAATAAATGCTAATTAGATAAATGAATAAACGATGGACTAACCAAATATAATAAAAGTAAAAGAGATGTGCCCTAGGAATCGAAAAAAGCACTTTGTAAAAGGGCACTAGAAAACATGAAATATCTTAATTCATGTTCAGGTGAAAAGATCAGATTCTTCAAAGTGTGAGCTGATGTGAAAAAATATAAAGCCCGTCTCTGTGAAAGCCGCCGCGAAGGGCAAAACCACGTGACCATCCCCGTCAGCCGAGGGCTCCCCCTGATCTCACTGTCAAGTGGCACAGAGTAAAAAGGGTACTTTTTTTAGTAACACTGTACATCTTCCCAGCAAGGGGACCGCTGCACTTGTTACATGCTCATTAGCAGCGATTACCGGGCAGATACAAATTTTACAAAGTGTCAGGGGCCACAGAGGGCCACGTGCTGCAGAAGCCGGCCCCCGACCAGCAGGGGACATTAGCTCCTCACAGGCCGGGCCCCAAAGCCACACATCTGCTGGCGCCCCTGTAACACGGGAGCTGCTGGCTCTGGAGTTGCTAACGAGCTGCTGGAGCGTGTCCGATAGTCACATCAGCAGCAAACTTTCCAACCCCGCGGGCGGGCGGACCCCAGCCTGAGAGATCGCATTGCCTGCTCCCCGAGGGGGAGAGCAGCTCGCACTGTGCTGGGAGGGGAGGTGCACTGTGGCCTCGGTTTTCCCACTTCCGACCCCGCGTGTCTGCAGACGGGGCCGCGGGGAGGCCCCGGGCCACCATCCTCCCGGCAGCTGACAGCTCGGGATTCATCGGCAACACGCTCTGGATGCTCCACACGTCCCCGAGCCCCCACACGCTGTGGCCGGGGAGACTTCATTAATTATACAAATGTGTCATAGATGTCGGGTGATAGCATCTTGTCTATAATGAGTGCTTAAAACTGACAGGAAAAACAAGGATTCTGAAAATTAAAATGCTACGGAAGATACCCCTCCGCCCTAGTGTGATTTGTTAATTAGAGAGAATGAGCTCGCTGTAAGGGGGAGCGTGCTCACACTGTGAGACGAGACCGCGGTGGATTCGAGAACCGTGCCCCTGCCCCCCAGCGCCCCTCCCTACCTGCTCCCTGCAGCCCCCTCGGCGTGCGCCGGCCCACTCCCGCCCCTGCCATTCCACGCATGCGGGGAGCCAGCCCCCACGGCCTTGCCTGAGAACGTACCTGACCCCAAAGTGCCCCCCCCATGCATGTACCCCCCTCTGCTCACCCCACTCCTCTGCTCACAGGATTCCCCAAGATGCCCTTCTCTACTTGGCTCTTACAAGCTGGCCTCGGCCCTCAACTCCAACCTCAGTTCTGCAGGAGAACCCACTCCATGAGTTGTGTATACAGCAGGCGCCAAATAAAGACCAGGTGATGAAAGTGGCCTGGCTCCTCCGGAGGCGTGGGAGCACGATGCTCAGGCACACAGGCCGGGTCGGAGCCAGAGCCCTTCCCCGACTAACGAGGTGACTCTGGGCCCCTGTGGAGGGGTCTGAGCCTCCGTTTCCTCATCATCGTGTGGAGTTTTGATCACATGGAACCATGTGGGATTGCTGTGAGGACTAATTACAGGACAGAGAGACCTCCGTGCCAGCAGCACAGTACGAGCACAGCCAATGTTGGTGAACATCCATTCATGGCTGTGCTTACCCAGGGCCGGCGGGAGGGCCGCACACAATTAGCAGAGCCCGGCCAGCTGCCGGGGGCCAGGGCATGGCCCTACAGCAGGCTGCCATGGTGGGCAGGGATCCCCAAGCTGCCAGCCTTCACCCCTGCTTCTCGCACTGGACTTGAACCCTGACCCTTTTAGCTGGACCCCAGCTCTGCTTCGACACCGGGGCCGCCCCGACAGGCCTCAAGGGGTTCGAGGCCACACACGGAGCAGGAAGAGCCAGGTTTTGAAATCTCCCCCTGCCTCAGTGACTTTTCTGACGGATGGACCAGCATTACAAGCCGGAATGGATGGGAGGGATTCACAAGAACAGCAAGTAGCAGCACCTCCTCCGAAACATTGGAGAAGAAAATGAAGATCTCCCACGATGGGCTCAGGGAAATGTCGTTAACACTCCCCAGGGCATGAGCTGAAGACTGAGACCTCACTGTGTTTGGGGAACCAAGTTCCAGAACTATCCAGAACTTTCCAGAACAGTCTAGAACCGTAGTTGGCAAACTGCGGCTCGCGAGCCACATGCGGCTCTTTGGCCCCTTGAGTGTGGCTCTTCCTAAGCCTTAGGAGTACCCTAATTAAGTTAATAACAATGTACCTACCTATATAGTTTAAGTTTAGAAAATTTGGCTCTCCAAAGAAATTTCAATCGTTGTACTGTTGATATTTGGCTCTGTTGGCTAATGAGTTTGCCGACCACGGGCCTAGAACATGGGCAGCCTCCTGAGCCTGCCCCCTAGTTTTCCGCTGACCGACCCGGGATAGCACAGTGGTTACTCACAGTCCTGCGAGGAGCGGTGGCGGAAGGTGAAGCGGAGGTGACTGCGGTTGACGTCCTCGATGGGGATGGCCACCTTGAGAAAGTGAAAAGGGAAGTGTATGTAAGCACCGCTGGCGCGGTCTCCTCGCAGGGGCAGCGCTGTCCCCGGGAGCGCGGGGGAGGGATGCCTAACCCCTGGGCGCTGTCCCAAAGGCAGCGGCCTCTGGAACCGGAGGTAACACTGTGAAGGGTGCCCGGGACTCTGTGAGGGCCCTCAAGGTTCTTAAAGGCTCTGACCCTACTGCTAAGATTCTGGGTTTAAAACCGACTTTTCTGTCCTCAGCCCGACCCCAGGCGTCCGGCTTCCCCGGCGGCTGCAGGGCCTGTCCCGGCGGCAGGGTGAAAGCGTTCTTGTTGTGACTGACGGTGAAGCAAAAAGAGCGACTGCACGGCCGCTCGGCCAAGACTGCCCTCGCCCTCCCCTCGCACATCTGCAGCCACAGCCGCCGCGGGCACTGTAACAGGCATGGCAGTGCCAGGGGACGGACCATCTCCCATGGCCTCTGATAGCCTCCCCTCCCCTCCATTTGCTGTAAGGGCAGCATTTCCTACATAATCCAGACCCGGGAGGAGAAACACAACAGCTGTCGTTCAGGGACTCTCTCATTTGTCTCCGTGAAAGTCCTACTTTTCTGTTAAAAGGAAATGAGAGGGAATGTATCCCAAGAAACGCCCGCATGGCTCCTTAGCGACCTCGCGTGACTTGGCGGGAGGCTCAGGTGCCCTTCGCGGGCGGCCCCTGGGGTGGGAGGAGGGGACTTCCCTAGCTCAGATGAGCGTTTCACCACGGACCCCGAGGGACGAAACGGCCACGTCAACGATACCTTCACGGTCTCGAACCAGCGCGGCTGCTTGACCTGGTAGTAAATGACGGACTTGTACTCGGAAATGGCCCCGTCGCCGGCGCCCGGGAAGATGACGTGCTAAGAGAGAGGGCACAGGACTCCATCAGGCCTCAGAGCTCGGCCCGCGTCCTCCCCACCTCCCGCCCCGTGAGCCGAGCCCGAGGGAGGAGAGAGCGCCCGGGAATGCCAATCACCCGCTGCCCATGGCGCGCTCCCAGCGATGCCCGCGGCCAGCATCAACCCCACTCCCAGACTGTAGGGGCCAAGCCACCTGGGATTGCTGTCCCCCACCCTTCTCACCCTCACCCCTAACGACGCCCACAGGAGGGCTGCAGAACGCTGCCTGATTCCCTCGGTAGGGCCCCCGAATAAAGGGCTCCAGACAAAATGTAGGAGGCGGTAACACTCCCTGCAGGTTGTCCCCAGCTTGAACGCTGACCACTCGGCACTGCCCGCTGGGACAGGGCACAGAGCCACCCGGAGAGAAGGGTGGCCCCTCCTCCTGGCAGAGCTGGGCCCCAGGTGCCCTCACAGGGCACGGCCCTCAGCCACGGTCCACAGAGCCAGCTTGGCAGGGGCTGGGACACCTGCCTTGGCTTAGCCTCCGGTCACAGAGGAGGCCACGGCCTCTGGGCACGTCCCAGGGCCCCGAGTCCCGCAGCTGCTGTGGCCACTCAGGAGGGGGCCTTGGTCCCACCACCACCTGGCCGACTCCGTGCTGTTACAGGTCAGACGTCCAAGTTCAAACCCAGTTCCACCTCTCGCCTGCGCTCTGACCTGAACAAGTGAATTGGTTTCCCTGGACACCAAGTTCCCTCGTGTCTCCAATGAGCTAACAGCGGTATCTGAACTTCCAGGCCGCTGCCAGGACCCCGCGGAAACCCGCGTCCAGGGCAGCAGGAGAAGGGAAGGAAGACCAGGCCCCGGGCGCCCCCGAATCAGGAGCAGGTCTTTCCTAGTCTGTGCAGAGGTCAGAGGTGAACACCTGGAAGCAACACTAAACGCTACAGTTAACTTCGTAATAGTCAGTACCTCCAGCCGCTTGCCGTCTTCATCGTAAACAGACACCGTAACTTCCACGTTCTTCGCCGTGGTTTTGCTTCCTTTATCGAAATCTCCTTGGACTAATGTCACGTAGATGTCATTTCGAACATCACCTGGCGGGGGGAGGGGAATTACACCTTGAAAACCAATCAATCCGTCATCCATTGTGTAAACGGGAATTCTGCAAAAGGGTCTAACGCGTTAGCTCTCCTAGCTGAGCGTTATGAATGCTGCGTTAGAGGGTCACAAAATACTTCCCACGAAATAGTCTCCGCCTATCGAGGCACGACAAGGGCAATTTCATCATCATGGTGAGAGTGCGAGAAAGAGGGAACAGGCCAAGGCCGCGAACTATCTGCTGGGTCTTGTCTTGCCCTGGGCAGAGGCGCCCCACCCCTCTGGGGGGCCCACGCCCTGAGCAGACCGAATGCTGGCGGTGTCTGCAAGGACTCAGCCCCTCTGTGTCCATGGCGCCCTGGGCCCCTGTCGCCACCCGTCAGACCACTGGCTGTGGTCATAGTCCCGGTGCCAAGGAATATCACTGACATCAACCAGGACACCAAGGACAACGGGGAAGGGGGGCCTCTTGTGCGTTTTACTAGGAGCTGAGCAAAAAGCTGACGAACAATTCAAACCACAAGCCCTGTCCAGCGAGTGGCCTGGGATCAGGGATCAGGGATCAGGGATGCGTCAGGAGAGAAACCTTCTGCCTGGTTCTCCCTCCCTCCTGGGGGGCAGCTGCCAGGAGCCTGAACGGGGACCCCGAGGAGCAGGAGAATAAACAGACCTGTGGGTCTTTTTAAGGGAGAGGGAGGGACAGAAACATCAGTGATGAGAGAGAATCATGGATCGGCTGCCTCCTGCACGCCCCACACTGGAGATCGAGCCCGCAACCCGGGCACGTGCCCTGACCAGGAATGGAACCATGACCTCCTGGTTCATAGGTCAATGCTCAACCACTGAGGCCAGGGATGTCTTATTCTTTTTTTTTTTATTCAAGTGCAGTTGGCATTCAATACAGACCTGTGCATTTAAAGTGAGATGGGACATAAATTGTACAAAAGAAAAAAAAAAAAAGCAACTAATGAGCTCAAGACATCCCTCGCACTGAGCACAGAGGAAGCCCTGACAGGGGCCCGACGGGGAGAACTTAGCGAAGCTTCGTTAGCTGCGTGATGTGGTGACTGCTCCTCACTGTCAGGCGGCCACACCCTCGGGTGCCCCACCCTGTCCCTCAGGGGACGCGGGAACAGTTTCGTCCTGAGTAGCAACAGCCCGCTCTGGGCCAAGGACAAGGATCCCTTAAGAAGTTTCCTTGCTTTCTATGTTGTTGTTGTTTTCTGCTCTATTCTGCTTTTCATAGATCCAAGGATGAAATTAAGCTTTCATTTCAAAGTCGTTATGATACGAATCCCAGCGGTCACTAGGGCAGCCGCAGCAGCTGCTGGGGATGGAAGCAGCACACCAGGACCCTGACCCTGAGCGTCGTTGGGAATGACGGGGCACAGGGCGGGGCTGGACGCACGGCTGCGGGCCCAGGACCCGCAGCCGCCCAGTGAGCTGTGCGACCTGGGACAGTCACCTAGCCTCCCACCCACTTAGCCACCCACTGCTGTCATCCGAAAGGCAGGGTGGGCTGCGGGGTCCCTCAGCCTGAAAGGTTTATCGAGGCACAAATAAACCCGAAGGCTTCCCGAGCCCCCAGAGGCCCCGCTAGCCAGAGACCACCACACTGTGAGTGCAAAACGTCAAGGTCGCCTCTCCCGCTGGCCCGAAAAATGCCCACTGCGGGCCGCCTGAGGAGACCCACAGCTCGGGCTCTTCTCAAGAAGATGCAGCTCGTGCTTCTGCTCCACAGCTTCCATCGTAGGAGAAGCCGGGAGGATGCTGTGGGACCTTCTTAAGAAGGTTGCTTGCTATTTCTCAT